GACCTTGATCTCAGGGATCGAGTGGCCTTTCGCCACCTCCAGTTTTTCTTCGCTGTGTTCCTCCACCGCGCCCACCCGTACTATGAGCGGCTGCGATAGATCATGGTCCTCCAGCTGAGCTTCCCACTCCCCGGGAGGATTCAATGGGTCGGCCAACGCCAGTTTCAAAAGCTTCTTGGCGGTAGGTCCGGAGTTTGAACCATTCTTCAGGCCCAGAAACGCAACTCGTATCGACTCGTAGCCCGGTGTTTGCGACAGGTTCCGCAGGGCAAGCTGCACCCGCGCGAGGTTGACATGATTCGGGGCGTGTGTTTGTAGGTCCAAAAGCGCGTCCTGAAGATCTCTTCGGGGATCCGAAAAAGTTGTCGTAGGTGTTGCGGCTGTATCGGTCGACTCTCGACGCGCGCTTCCACCGAGCGGTTTCCGGCGCGGCACTAATGAAGATGGCCCCGCGTGTTTTGTGAAAGAGCAGAAGAGGCAGACGGATGATCGACTTTGGCGGAGCGCGCCACTCCGACCGAAAGCCTGCCGCAAGCCTGATATTGGCGGCATGGTTGGGGGTGAGTGTGGTGAGAACCAATTGTGCCCGTCGCAACGATCACAATTGTCTCATCGAAGAGGTGAAGCTTGGGTGTGGTTACGCTTGTCTCTGGAGCTTTTCTGCCGGGAATCTCGGTGCCGCCCCACAAACGACGGGGATGACCGCGCCAAGGCCCAACCCCTGTCATCGATCCCTCCTCGCAGCCCCTCCAACCTTATGCTCACTCTCACTCCAACAAAGAACAACACCACCAATTCCATTGAAATCCCCCAGCGCACAGCTACCAACTGTCGCCAAGCCAATAACCTCATACCACTCAAACCACCGCCGATACTACAAACCAACACCCAGCCAGTTTGGCATCTGGGCTTCCATTCCCCAACCCCGCCACCATGGCCCAATCAACCGCGCACCGCCGCCTCCTCCAAGAATACCGTACCCTCACCAACAACCCCCCGAAGGCATCACCGCCGGCCCCGTGACCGAAGACGACCTCCTACACTGGGAAGCGCTCATCCAAGGCCCAGAAGGCACACCCTTTGAAGGCGGCGTCTTCCCCGCCGAGCTAAAGTTCCCGCGGGACTACCCCCTTGCGCCACCGACGATGAAGTTCCTAGGGGAGGTGTTTCACCCCAACGGTTCGTACCTACCTACACACGAACAGAAGGTAATGGGATAAGGGGGCTAATGTAGAAACAGTATATCCCAATGGACTGGTATGCATCTCGATCTTGCATCCGCCTGGAGACGACCCGAACCACTACGAGCATGCGTCGGAGCGGTGGTCGCCCATCCAGTCGGTCGAGAAGATTCTCATCAGCGTGATGAGTATGCTTGCGGAACCCAACGACGAGAGTCCCGCCAACGTGGAGGCCGCCAAGATGTGGCGCGAGCGAAGGGGCGAGTACGAGAAGAGGGTGCGCGATGGGGTGCGGAGGATGCTTGGGCTGTGAGGATGAGGACGACACATATATATTTTAGGGAGGATACATACACCATACACGGATAATCTTGGTTGCATGGCAAAGGTGTTACGGACAGCGATGAATTCACACTTCACTTTGTGAAGTTCGGTTAGATCTTGAGATGCTCTAGTAAAGACGTGTCTTTTTATCTATCTGTCGACCACTCTAGCCCCTGTTTAGAGCCCGTTTTCTGCCTTGAATTTATCCCACGCCTCGTTGAGCGTGCTGAAAACCGTACCGGCAATCATCCTCACCTCAGTCGAAGCATCTTGCGGGAGCTATACCACAAGGTCAGCATCAGTGTTGTCTCTCAAGTCAAAAAAGGGGAGGGGTATAGATCCTCACCTTGTCAGGATGCGTCTTCGCAATGGCCTTCATGTAGATAATCTTGACCTTGTTGGTCATGACTAGCTCATGCAGCCCGACCTTCTTCCACCCACTCCCTTCCCACAACACATTCTCCATACTACCCAATAATGCCCGCAAATTCTCCCTCTTGCCATCTCGCCACGCCGCAATGCGCGCGTCCACCTTATCAATCAGCGCAATCTTCTCATCGCCCTCCTTCTCCGCCGCCTTGTTCGCCTCGCGCAACCTCTGCACTGCCTCCGAGCTTTTCTGGCTCTCCGCCGGTGCTGGACGCCGCGGAGCAGGTGCACGCGCTGGTGCCGGTCGCGCAGCAGGCTTGGGAGCCAACGCCTTCTGGCAGCGCTGGCGGCCAGCGGTTGCGGTTGCGCCTCCGTGGCCGGATTCAATGGCGAGTTGCCACACCGTCGCGGCGTCAGACCACTTCTCCATTTGCTCGAGGGCTTCGGCTTTGCGGGTTAGAGCCTTGCCGTAGAGCTCGCGCATGTCACGTTTCTCGTTATCGCCGCCATGTAGCTCCACGTACTCGCCGTCGCCCTTGCTTGGGCCGATGATGTGGAGGGCTTTGTCGGCGTCTTCTACCGCTTGGCGGGGCTCGCCAGTTTTGAGGGCTGTTAGGGCGCGGTTGCAGAGCAAGATGATGGTGAGAGGGTGAGTGGGCGGGATGGAGGTGAGGGATGAGGTGTAGGAAGCGTGCGCGGCGGCGTAATCGCCGCGCTTGAAATGCGCAGTCCCATCAAGGCGGTGTTTGGAGGAGCTTTGCAGGGCGATTGCTGAGACACTGGGGATCGAGCGTTGCGGTCGGGGTGTTGGTGCCGGGCGAGGCGCTGGGGACTGTCGGGGGGTCGGCCTTGGTGCGGGGGATGGCTGTGCCGGCCGGGAGGGAAGTGCGGCCTGGGGTTGTGACTTCGGTGGTTCGGCGGAGCCGAAGAGCAGGTCGGGCTCTGCCTCTGGTGGTGGCTGTGGTGTAGTTTTCTTCCGCCGCGCAGGACTGACATATGCCTGGGCACTTTGCTCCTCCACCGCCTGCTTGCTGAGTCTTGATCGAGGGTCAAGACCAGACGAGTGACCAGCTTGCTGCCACTTGGGCACTGAACTGCCTTGTCCAGGTCTTGCTCCCGCTCCTGGGAAGGCGGGAGACTGATCTCGAGAAGTCGCATTGCTGGATGGTCGGCTGCCTGACCCGGCCATGTCAGGCCGACGTCCTGGCCGCATACCCAAGTCGAGCATCATAGCTTCATCTGTGACGTCCGGCCGCCTCTTCTCGTCCGAGCCAAGATCTTGCTGAGCCGACCGCATCCATTTTGGCTGGTTCGGGTCGCCTCCCTCTTGCTGAAATTCTTGGACAGCCTTCTGGACTTTCTTCTGCCCCTGCTTCCAGAAGCTGTTGGCCGTCTTGAGCAAACTGGTGCCCACCGCCGCGGCAGTTTTCGTAAAATCACTGTCCGAAGCAGGAGACCTATTATCCCGACCCCTAGCTCCCTCGGCGTCCTTCATCCACGATGGGGCCCCATTCCTTGGCTGGCTAGAGGCGCGCTCTGGGACACTCCCGGCCGGCTCTCTCGAAGGCTGCCTCCCCTTCACCTTCTCCTTCGCCTGCCTATGGGCGTCATCCAGTAGCCAGTTTACCGCAGCTTGGACGTTGAGCCCCGCGCCGCTCTCCGTCAAGCCCCTCCTCGCGTTCTCGGGTGTAAATCCATAGTCTACAAGCTGTGCCACAGCCTTGTCAAACGGATCGTTCGATGGCGCAGCCGTCTCAGGCTCGGAATCCGAAGAAGAATCCTCTATTGCTTTCCCAGGCTCAGGCCTCCTCGAAAACGACGGCGCCTGCGGTTTCGGCTGTGGCTGCGGCTGCTTCTTCCTGACCTCCTCCACCGGCCTCCCCAAGTCCCCGAGCAAGTTATCATCCTCGTCTGCCGGCGCGGTAGGCGGCGGCGGTGCACTGGATTTCCCTTTGAGCTGATTCAAACCAAACGGATCATCGTCATCATCCATCATGCCCCCACCCCCCGATGCGCCGCCCATCGGCTGGTTCCACGCTTGCGGGTTGCTCAAGTTCAACGACGGCGCATTCGCCGGGGATGTCCTGCTCGACAAACCCGGCGGTGGAAAGTGGCTAGCATTATCCACCTTCGTGCTCGCGTTGAAAGCCGCAAACAGATCCTCGTCCTCCTCCTTTGACAGCTTCCCGCTCCCCGCCGCACTCGAACCTGGAGGCGGCGCTATTGCCGGCGACGCCGTCCTGGGTGTCCCGGACTGACTCCCCAGTGAATCGAAAAAGCGGCCATCCCCAAAGCTCGCCTGCGCCTGCTTGCGCCGTTCCTCCTCTTTTCTCCTCTTCTCGGCTTCTAACAAGTCCTGGCGCTCGCGCAGCGACAAGTTCGCATTCGGCTTCGCGGTGCCAAAATTTACGAGGCTGCTAAAGCTGCTGTCGACCGCGGGTTTCGATGCCGCAGGCGGCTTGAACGTGCTCCCTCCTGTGTTCCCCTGCGCCGAGAGTGGCGTGTTGCGACCCGAGGCGAGTGGAGAGGGCGTCGGGCGCAAGGCAGGGAAGGAGCTTGTTGTTGATGGCACCGGTGCCGGCTTCGCGGGGTTCGCGGTCCATTGTAAAGACGAGAGATCATCCATCGTTTACAGGGGGATAGGCTAAAGATCGGAGTGTCGAAAGAGCCATTAAACCATGGTTTGTAGGTGTCGCATGCGTTGTCTGAAGGTCGAGGAGGTGCAGGTCCAGGGGGGGGTGCGGCCCCACCAAGCAAGCGGTTGTGACAGGCGGCCCCAAATCCGCCAAGCCAATCAAGCAGTGAGGGGAAAGGGGCAAGGGTTAGGGTCCACGTGGTGAGCAGCGCCCGGCCTCCAGAGAGCCATTGAACACCTTCAAAAGGTCAACAAATACATTCAGAGAGCCAATGAACACCTTCAAAGAGCTACTGAAGACCTTCAGGGGGCCATTGAGCACCTTCAGAGAGTCGCCAAACGCCTCGGGAGACTCCCTGACCACCTCGTGTATCCTTGGAGGGGTGTCAAACTAATTCCTTCCAACGTGTGGGGTCCCGCCGGAGAACCCTTCTGGCTGCCAAAAAGAAAATGTCTCCAACCATCAGGAGATGGGGCAAAAATAAACCACTCGATCCACCCAGGGGTCGAACCTGGAACCTCCTGATAACTTCTTTGAGGTCGTAGTCAGACGCTCTGCCATTGAGCCAGCGGACCTTGGATGTTGGAAGGTGTCACATATCCGCCTCTCGAACGACGAGCTGTGCAATCTTGATCACCTAACCCTAACCCCCAATTTCCCCTATCACTCTCTGCTGACGACCCCTCGCCAACCCTTGACCGCGTCCTGTCGCGTCGCCGTTGCCCCTCACTTCCAGGTTCACTGCACCACCTTGTCGCTATGGCTTCACAACAGAGGTCCACCTCAACCGCAGGCTTGAGGGAAAAGTCATATTTCGAGCAGCAGCGTGAGGAGTTGATGGCCGAAATTGCCATGGTACGTCAACAACAGCATTTTGAACAAATTGCCCCACCTAACTGTGCCCTTGTCACAGAGCTTTGAGCATGTACTTGCAAACATCAACAAGCTAAACCGCTCGCTGGAAGCTGTTATTACGGTATATTCTCTCAATTCTTACTCGCTTCGCTGGAGAAGTGTCATGGCGGTAATAGGGTGCTGACTGTGACAGGTGGGCAACGAGTTTTCGTCAGTTGAGGCACTGTGGTCGCAGTTTGAGAATGTTATGGGAAAGGAGCCCGAGGAGGTTGGTGATAAATCCGAGGCTGAGGGAGAGACCACTGTCAGCGACCAGACGGAAGGGGCCAGTGAGGCATGAGGCGTGCATTCATATGTGACGACAACGATGTGATGAGAGATAGTCTCGAGCCTCTTGGGCTGGAGGGCGACAAAAAGATACCCCAGAGGAATGCGCAGTTCAGTGTAAAGGAATCCATATTTGCAGTCAGGTCATGGCAATGGAGAGTTTGTTTTATGTCCGTGTTTCATTGTCCCTAACGGAGCAAAAATTTCATGTTACAAAAGAAACCTGGAAGTCCGTATACTCAGAAAAGGTTGATGATACAATGCGGCGCCAGATCAGCAATCATGACCTTGCCCTCCCACGTTCGACTATCCCGCGCCGCTTGGGGCGAGAGTTGGCGGGTGGAGATTTGACCAGCCGCAGCGCATGCCTCTCCAGGGTATCACATCCCTTCTAAACCCTATATGAGTGTTCACGAAGAGAGTATACTCCAACAAATACAACATCGTATCGTAGCCAACCCGCAATCCTTCTAACTGAGAGCCCAACAAGTCACCCCACTTCATCCGTACGCCCTCTCTTCGGGTCATGATGAGAAAATCAGGTCGTATCAAAATCGTGCAATAGTCAAGTCATTACCTTCCCATCTCGCCGATGCATGCTCGCTTCGCTGAAAACGCCATCGACAGATACTGCAATGTAGGTCGCCGTTCTCCCCTCCCCTACACCATGATGCACTTTCTCTTCTTTTTCTTGGCAACACCGACGCCGGGGATAGGTGCTCCACCACTGCCAAAGCTGATGCCGTTCCCTCCACCGTGTGATGCTTGTTGTTCGAGATTTTTCCGATCATTTGCGACGACTGTAAGGATGGCTCGCTCAAAGATCTCCTCGACGCCTGTCATCTCTTTGCTGCTGCACTCCATGTACTGGGCACCCATCTTCTGTGCGACGGCAAGCCCTTGCTCCGTGGTTACTGGTGTGAGACCTTGTGTCTTGAGCATGTCGATACACGTCTTCTTATATCGCAAGTCCGATTTGAGACCGACGAGGATGAGCGGAGTGTATGGGCAGAAATGCAGGACTTCGGGATACCACTGACTAGGTGTTAGCTTGATATTCAAAGGTGCGCCGAAAAAGGGCATCGCAATCTAACCTTGTCCATGACATTCTCGAGGGAATTTGGGCAGTCGATGGCGAAGCAGACGAAGATCAGGTCGGTCTCAGGATATGAAAGCGGACGCAGCCGGTCGTATTCCTCCTGGCCGGCAGTATCCCACAGCGCCAGTTCCACCGTCTTACCGGTTGGAGGATGTGTGGGATAGGTGATGTAGTTCTCGAACACCGTTGGGACATATTTCTGCGCTCGTTGTCAGCGATCGTGAGCTCTGCAAAGTTGCGACCGTGTGGGCGACGAAGCGGCGTCGCAGGCAATGCGCACCTCTGGGAAATATCCTTGGCTGTAGCTGATCAGGAGGCAGGTCTTGCCGCAGCCGCCGTCGCCGACGACAACAATCTTCTTGGAGTAGGCGGGACCCTCGGTCATGGCTGTTGCGGATGATTCTCTGCCAGTCGTCGATGTGCTCATCATCGTGCTCACTGTTCCATCGCTCGACCGTGCGCCGCGGGTGTCTCTTCGGTCAGTCGTCGGTCGCCGCTGAATGCCGTTATCATACTTCTCCTGCGCCGGTTGCGAATTGTAGTAGGAGTTGCGATACTGGTATGAAGCCATGATTTTTGAGTTTGTTTAGTGGGGAAATAAAAGCCACTGGTCAAGCACGCGAGGTACGCGAAGCTGCGCTGGGAATTTGAGTCCAGGTCCCGCCCGATTGTCTGGATGGAAAATGTCTGACCTCGAGCAAGACGTGTGAAGGCGGACGGCATGCAGCGAGCTTGAGAAAAGCGATGTTTTACGGGCCAGCGACCTCGAGGCTGCTGGTCGTGCGGGACAGCGCAGGTACACCCGGAAGCAATGTAAACAGTCGACCGGGCAACCGCCCTTCGATGGCACGAGCGCCTAAAAAAAGATGCCCCACTCGATTCCTCGGTGACGCACTGTGTTGCGATGCAGCATCCGAGCACCTATCAGAGACTAGAATTTCTCAGAGAAACTCTACCGCATACTCAAACCCATCAATGAGACTATGAAGAATAGTCTTGCTCGCAGGACTTGACGCTGAAGGCTTTTTCTCGGGGTTGGCGAGGAGGACAACTTCGTTGCGTAATGGCTCGCACTGCCCTGTCTCAAAGAAAGACCCATCAAAGTGGCTCGTGCGCTGCAGCTTTAATGACCCTTTAAAAGCCCAATTTTTCATCTGAACTTCCACCTTTCTTTCTCCAACGCGTGTCTGGGACCTTCGATTCCGCGCGAACCACAAGAGACGCGCCTGTCTGAGATGACCTGAGAACTGTTTCCTTCCTCCAGGCACCGAGCAGGTTCTCTCACAAGTCAACTCACATCATCCGTTTGCCGCACTCAAACCCAGGCCCATTCGTCCTCTTTGCCGGCAAAGATGGCAGCACACAGCAGCGACACTTGCAACAGCAAGTACGTCACTCTGGTCTCTACTGAAGGCTTTGAGTACGTCGTTCTCCGCGAGGCTACCTTAATCAGCCCAACCATCAAGTCGATGTTGCGGGGTCAGTTCTCCGAGGCAAAGACAGGCCGCTGCGTCTTTCCCGAGATCAGGTATGTTGAACATCTCCTTCACATCTCCTACGTCTCTATCCTCGCTGGATACCAGCGGAATGATGATCAGCAATACCCCTCGCTGTGAGGTCCCGACAGACCATGCCCCCGCCACGGGGGCAGAGGACTGAATGAAGGCCATCTACACTTGATCTGACTTGCGCTTCATCCATCGCAACCGTTTCAAGTCTCGGTGGCCAGTCCCTCTCGCTAACGGACCTGATCAGTGGTCTCGTGATGGAGAAGATTGTCGAGTACTTTCATTACTGGTATCGGAACCAAGACAAGACTATGGTTCCCGACATGGAGATTCCAGTCGACCTCTGCCTCGAGCTTCTCGTGGCGGCGGACTTCTTGGGGCTGGATAGTAAGCCATGCATCCTCCCCCCCCTCCCATGAGAGTTCCTCCTAACCGCTCCCAACAGAGCAAACATGATCACTCAAAGGTCAGGCGTTGGCTGGTACTTCCATTTTAGCGTTGGCGTTTCGGTGTGGTCGGCGCGGCAAAACAGCACAAGCCAAACAGTGGGATGTTTTGAGAGTAAAAGGTTGATTCAAGGCAACTCTATCCTCCAACCCAAAGATGGCCGTATTCTTCGGCTCGATTATGACCATCCTATCATGTCTACGCGTCCATACTCGTGGCCCCGCTGTCATCCGTGGTGGCACATCTACAAAGTGACTCCTCCCACCATCTTAGCATATACGTTCAACCCCCTCTATGGGTAAAACGTCTAAATTGGATGGAAGAGCAAAACCTCCCCAACGATCTGCGTGCCTCACCACCTCAGTGGGGGCTTCGCTTTATATGACGGGAAACAATCCAGAAAGTAAAAGTATATTCACAAATACGATATTGAACGTAAATTTTGGGTATCGCACAAAGCTCCCCCTTTCCGAGTGATCTCAATGCCGCCACCCATGACCTGTTAGTTCAGACGCAGACACGTTCAGTTATGACCAATTCGCACATGGCCCAATCAGTGACATCCAACAGATCACAACATGTGCCTGAGGTGTAAATGGGCACCAGTTTTTTGACTCCGTACAGCACACAACAGGTACTGCCCCCCGATCCTCTACACTCACCACCCCCTCCCTCTCCCCCTCCCACCTCTCCCACCCCTACCTCTTCCGCCTCTCCCCCTTCCCCGTCCACCACCCCCTCGCCCGCCTCTTCCCCCAAAGTCAGGGAAATCTGGCTCCGGTACCCACTTCTCTTTCCTCTCTCTCCTCTCATCCTCACTGGCATTCCACAAATTCGGCACCCCCACCAACTCACAAAACGCAACTGTTTGCGGATTGGTATACTCCTCCGGTTGCGTCATAGCCTCTTGGTCCTGCCCATCCACGGATGAATCGTACTTGGGCGCAGTGAGTTCGAAGTTTTCCGGGACATCGAGTTTTCCGGGTTGGGTGATGTGTTCGTCTACCCAGCCCTCTTCCGTTTGGATGAGAGGGAGGTAGTGGGACTCGCCCTGGTCCGGTGGGTTCTGAGCGGCGCGATCGCCAATGATGAGGGAAGGGGCAAAGACTCGGGTGATTGCGAGCCATTCGGGGTCGTACTGTAGCTTGAAGGGGGGCGAGGCGGTCGTGGGGATCTCGCAGAGCTGAAGGAATTTGCGGCCGGGGAGACATTTGTCGAGGGCGAGGAAGCGAACGGTGGTGTTGGTGACGCCTCGGGGGGTGGGTTGGCCGGGGGTGACCTTGGGTCTTTGCTGTGGGCGGGCGAACGCGGCGGGGAGCTGAGCGCGGAGGGCCTCGGT